AATCAAGAATGCCAGGCCAAAATTATAGAAATAAATGGATTCAGTTCAAGGCAAATAATGTAGTATTAAACCTGCAGACTCTATGCAGTCAGAGGACAGGAAAGATGAAATCCACAGTCTTTTTTTCCTGTAAATAATGAAAACGACGCATTCCACCAATAAACATCTATTTTAATTAGTTGGAAATAGTTTTAGAATTGATCACAAGAACAGCAGAACCAATGAAGATAATAATAATAATAATAATAATAATAATAATAATAATAATAATAATAATACTTTTCTTACTTTCACTATTAATATCAGGTTCAACAGGTCCAGCTCTCAAGCAAAGAATAAAACAATGCTACAATATGTTTTTCTCGATTAAAAACAATTCTATGCAGTTTAGTAATAATTGTGGATTTAATTTTTTTCTTTACATCAGTGAACATTTATTTTCCATGCTCCTATTGCTGCCTTTTGTTGTTTTGTCTTTCCACTGAAACACAGTGTGTATATAAATATATTGTTTTTGTGGTTATTTTTATTTGCCTCTGGGAAGTTTGGTGGCTTAATTCTCGGTGACTCTGACATTCAGAAGCCGCCGACGCGTGGCGCTGTTTCACACCGTGGAGTTTTCTTCTTTTACTGTACGCTGCTCTTCTCTAGTTAAGATGTGCTGCTCTTTTAAAAACACACGTGCTGTTCTTATTTTAATCATTTTTCAAACTAAGCCCTGAATGTATATATTTTACTTAAACTAGTATCAGACACATTTTGTCACAGTGCCTAAAACAGATAATAATAATAATAATAATAATAATAATAATAATAATAATAATAATAATAATAATAATAATAATAATAATAAAATATGTGTATAAATATTTATTCTGTATATTAAGTCAAATAAAATGCCCGTTGCCTTTCCTTAATGATGTTTTGCAGTTTGCAGTCTTCCACTCAGTTTCAGTGAATTACATAGGCCTAATTATTATTTTTTTTGACAGCAGAAATACAAAAGCAGAAGCTGAATTGAATGCAGCCTCACTGTGACCTGCCTCTTTCTGTCTGATTAGATGAATGTAAATTCAGTAAGTTTGTGACACTGGTTTAAGGATTACGATACATATAGTGCTTCTTCGTGACTCACTCGTTTATTGTATTTATTTATTTTTTCACATCACATTCTTCACCACGTCGTCGCTTTATTTCAAAATAAAACCCTCAAACTGTGGATTTTTGCTTTGAGCCTCTTTACGTCCGTAGAAATGATTAATCCTCCTCTGTGACACATTTGATAGGCCACGCGCCGTCTGTGCGCCCTCCTCCTTCCTCTGCGCTCATCATCATCTTCATCATCATCACCCTTCCCGGCTCCTTCCCATCTTTCTCTCTGTTTCTCTGCTGTCTTCAGCCGCAGCTCCTCTCTGACCCGCTCCGTCTATCCGGTAAGAAATTATGCATTTCTTTTCCTCTCCTGATGATAATCATTTTCGTGGCTTTTGTAGATTTTGTGTCATGAGGGTTCCGGTTGTTGCTGAGCAGTTCTGCTTCTTTTAAAGGAGCAGGATTGACAGGGAAAATATGACGTGAACTCAGCTGTAAAGCCAGCAAAAATAAATAAATAAAAGAAAATAAAATGGCTCAATTATAAGCTTTTCTCACATTTTAAATGGCTGGGGGAAAAAATGCTGGACGTATTGGCATTTATTCCCAAGTTTTGCAGGTCTGAATTTTTGAGAAACACAATTAAATATGTTGAACTGCTAAAATCATTCACCAGCTGATCTTGTTTTCTTGAGCCGCACGTGCATTATTTTTTTCCATTAGTTTTTTTTTTTTCCATTTACCTGCCAATTAGTTCTAAACAAACCGCGACGTGTAATGAGGGCCTCCACTGCCATGTGCTGATGTGAGCTGTGTGAGAGGGAGGAAGAGGAGGAGGATGAGGAGGAGGATGAGGAGGCCCCAGGCATCGCTGCAGTGCAGAGTTCAGCAGGGAGATATTGTTGTGAGCCTGGGAAAGTGTAGCGGGGCTGACGCCAGACTCTGTAGAGCTGAGACGAGGGGGGGGGGGGAACCTGGAAGATCCCAGACCGGATTGTCATGTTAATGTCCCCTCGGCGCGTTGTTGAACTTGATGTTGACTTCTTTCTTTTCTCTCGCTCGCTCGCTCTTTCCCCCCCTACTGAAAGCGGGTGGTTGGAGAGAGGGTGGATGGGGGGATCTCTCTGTCACTTATTTGTGGGAAAGTTCATCTCCTCACACACACATACACACACCCATGCTTTCTCTCTCTCTCCCTCTCTCTCACACACACACACACACACCCACACACACACACCTATGTATACACACCACATGTGTGTATACATATCTACTACAAGTTTTTTTATTTTATTTTACTAACTGTAGGTTTAAAGAAATTAATTTAAAGTATAATTTTCCAATAAGATAAAGTTTCTTCCAAAAACCAAAACATTTCTGTATTTATTTCAGCTCTCAAAAAAGGTGATTATAGATCACAAAGAGCAGATCCTGCGTCCAGCCAAGTTTGTTGCTTTAATTGTCGATGGGCCAAAAAAAAAATTATATAGGCCTATATATATATATATATGTTAAATAAGTGTTAAATGAGATGCATGATGAGGATGCAAGTGCATGCAGTCGTTTTGCCCAGTGCTGAGCATGCTGTGCCAGTAATACACAATTTAGGAAAAGAAAAATAAGCGCCAGATTAATTTGCTTCTCTGTTTTACGCTTGCCCACAGTGTGGTAATGGGAAGATCTGCAGCGTGACAGCAGCAGCAACGCTATATGGAGGAGTAGTTCGGCATGTGTATGTGCTGGCTCCAGGATGCCAATAGATTGATCAGGCGCAAAAATCAGATTTGTAGCGTCTGCTATATTTGATGCGGTTGGAACTGAGATTGCAGCCCTGGTGTTTTTGGTGCAAATCACGTGCACACAAAACCCCCCAAAAATTAAAAAATGAAATAAAAATAAAACTTGCTTGCCAGATGCAGAGACTCAAAAGCCATCACTGTAATCGCTGCTCAACATCTTTTCTCTTCAGCCGCAAGTATCAGTCACGTCAGAAGCCCGAATATCATCCAACCAATTTGGCCATGAATACAGCGAGACTAAATGCTTTAAGAGCAACAGAAAGCCCTTGTTTCTCAGGCAAGCAATTGAGCAGTCAGGTTATGTAATATTAAAATTGAAAATTGGCGCTTTGCCTTACAGGATCTCGGATAATGCATGTGTTTTATATTTATGGAAACGATGGCGAAATAATGTCTCAGCAAACATCACGAACGATAGGCCACCAGTCACTGCTAGTTCTAATATGTGTAGGATGCAATTACATATGGAGAAACTAAGAAAAAATACTGACTAACTCTCAGTATCTTATATATATATATATATATATATATATATATATATATATATATATATATATATATATATATATATATATATATATATATATATATATATATATATATATATATATATGGGTTGCACCATATATATATATATATATATATATATATATATATATATATATATATATATATATATATATATATATATATATATATATATATAGCAACATGTAATGGTCATTTTAATATTTCCATATGGCTCCAGGTCAGTCTGAACTGTTACAGATTGAAAAGGAAATGATAGCCGAATATTCTCTCTGAACTTTATTCAATAATTCAGCTTTCCAAAAAGGGGCATCATTTTTTTTTTTTTAGCACGTATGTAATTACAGAATCAGATTTGATTCGTTCCCATCTGCGCCGGTGCTAATTGGCTGCGGGTAATAATCCACGCAGCCGTGCGCGGGTATAGAGCCCCAATAATGAGGATAATTGGGACAATCGGCTCCCTGATTGACAGACACCTGCATTCATGTTCACGTTGGCTTTGATAATCCGTGCTTCCCGCCTCTCTCTCTCTCTCTCTCTCTCTCTGAGGCGGAGTTTATCCCCTCAGCTTTCCGTGTGCGCTCTCAGTTAGTTGCAGCCTGCCAGTGTGAGGGACAGGATGCGGCTCAGTCCGCTCTAATATAGGGGACACTTTCTTGCATTAATAATCGGCGAGCTCAGCGGAGGTATTACGGCTGCCGTTGTCATTTAGATCACATTTCCAGAGGAGGACCTGGAGAGCATAAATGCATGGAGTTTGCCCAATGAGCAAGTGAGTAGGATACCAGCTTATTAACAAGTTTTGTGTTTCTAACATGCTCGAGTAGCTTTTCAGCATCAGCTGTGCGTTTGAGTTATAACAAAGCTGCGCTATAGTATTTGTAAAGCCAGTCTAGGTCATATATTTGATGCTGAAATTTGGACAAAAAAAAAAACTCCAAAAGCTGCCACATAACCGTGTATAGGTGGGTTGCACCATGCTCAGAGGGGTTTCCAGACCTTTATGTAACATTAACTGCAGGTCTGACTAGAACATCTGACCTGAGAAGACTTCTTTTTTTAAGTGCATGCTGTTGTAGAGTGGAGTTGATCTGCAAGTGAAAGTGTTGATGGTGCGTTTGGCTGCCTCAACCTGGACATGCGGAACTTTGTTTCAACTGCATGTAGCGATAAACCGTAAAAGAGAGTGAACGTGTTTGATTATGGTGAGAATCCCGTTCGAGCTATGTGTGTGTGAGGGAATATGTGTGTGTGTGTGTGTGTGTGTGTGTGTGTGTGTGTGTGTGTGTGTGTGTGTGTGTGTGTGTGTGTGTGTGTGTGTGTGTGTGTGTGTGTGTGTTTGAGAGCGACAGAGAGAAAGGGAGAAGGAGGGTGAAGGGGAGTCGGTGCAGAAGGACCACAGGAAGGCTCTCTCTCTCTATTTCTCTCTCTCTCCATCTATCCCTCCTCTGTATGCATTTCCTCCGCGGGGCGTCCCCTTTAGGAGACAGCGGGTCAGATTGTGTCTTTGGTTATCTAGCTGTATGAGTTTTAATTTCATAAAGCTAGAGAACCGAAAGTACGAACTGACGCCGAGCACTTCGGAGCTGACGGTCGACTCTCCGCTCGGCACGAAGGAGGATGATGATGATGAGGAGGAGGATGCCGGGGCGGGCAGCAGCGAGGAGGAATCGGCGGGGACGGATGCTGAGCGCCGCCGCAGCTGGAGCAGCAGCAGCAGCAGGATGAGGAGTGATGGAAGGAGCTGGAGGTGAAACTACCTCCAGGATGATTTGCATCCTCGTTGCCGACGGCGCTTACAGGAAGCCACCTGCGTGCGTGTGTGTGTGAGGGCGTGATTGAGCCTGCTGGACTCGTTGATAGCTCGGCCTGTTTTATGTCCAACAAATCTGTCCAACTTTGGGACATACGGGCTTGCTGCGTGTTGGGAACAACCCTGGCCGCCCTTACAGCGGGACGCTTGTAGTTCTCATAACTATGTGGGTGTTACACCAGTAATATCTTGAGGGAGCGACAGAAATAGTTAAAGGCTCCATGTGATTGGTCGATCCACGCCTCACGTGACGGTGTTGGCAGCAGCAGAATCAGTCAAGGGCTTTCTGTGATGTGTCACGTGTGTTGTTGGGGATACATATTTGTCGAAAAGTGCATGCTGACTTCATTGAATGTCTGGATGCATTCTTCCTTTTAAACGCTAATATCCAAGACACTGATACTCAAACATTTGGCCAGCATTTCCATATGGACCACATGTAGGTAAAGGGCCTCAATGGGGATTATCTGCAGGTTACACACTTTATTAAAAGCATGTGAATTGGTTATAGAATAAGACTGATCACTCTGGGTAAAATGTGGGTCCCATATAGGTCTTATAAGTAGCTAATCTAGAATGGTCCAAAATACTAATTCGGGAATTTAAACACTGTTGCAGCATTTTTGGCTTTTGGGCTAAATAACATTGCTTGATCTACTACATTCTTAGTTTAATCCTATGAAGGACACAAAAAAAATCTACCAAATGTCAGTGGACTACAAGGGCAGCTTTGTACAGCTTTCATGCAAATACTACGTTGCAATATTGTTGCAGGTTTGCCAAAAGTGTGGGACGTCAGCACATCTTGATCCAGACTAGATTGTTCTTATCAACCACTTTAGCCCCAGCTGAGACGTCCATGCAGCTCCTTGCTTGTTTTGCTGACATGGTTTGTATTTAAAGCCGTAGCATATGTAGCTGGGAACTTGTTTCTGTGTTGTTGTTTTTTACTATTTTTGGATAAGTCACTCGGCAATAGTTTTCATTACAGCCTCATAAGGGATGAAAGTGTGTTTGTACTCTTGTCTACCCAGAAGTGGAGAAAGGAAAAAAAATATTTTCTCCAGGATGTTTTTTTTTTTCAGTTTTCATTGACTTATTGTTCCTGAAGGTAAAATGACTCAAATCACAAACATTGTTTTATTCTGGTAATTGTGAACTCACTGCATTTTCTGTGTGTACTGTATGTATAGCACCACCCTTTGTATGGCAGCATCATTGTTTTCTAGTGTGCACCACATTCACTGAAGTCACAAAAATCTGGCCAGCACACAGAAGTTTTCAGTAACTCTGTAGTGAGTAGGTACATTTGACAAAATTTACAGTACTATGGCTTTGCAACTGAGCGGACTGTAGAGCAAACCTTGAGGTATGAATTAGGCCTTAGTCAGCTTATGTGGGCCCACTCAGTGGTCTCCCACCCACACGGGGCCCACACACCCACACACACACTAACTGAGAGGTACTATCTCACTAAACACTAATGTTTTTTCACTACTGGCCAAACCTGAAAGATTTCTCTAAACTATGATTCTACAGGACTTGTAATATTTCAGTTTGTCGTATCATGTCATAAAAAATATAACAAGCAAAAACATATCCTTGTCTATTGCACTTGTATGATTGGTTGAAGATTACGAGTTATGCATGTCCAGTTTTGAAACTGGAACTAAAAAATTACTAAAAGCTGGCTTGACGTCAAAACTACAAGAGTGATAGTTCCTTTCAAACCAGCTAACTTTCCAGTTTAAAATGGCTGCCTTGTGTATAAAATTTGTAAAAAGCAATTTATCTGCGTTCCTTTCAGTCTTTCACACAACCTTTTGTGAATAGGCGCTACCATGTTAAAACCACCATTGTATGAGATTATGTTAAGTTATCCTAACCACAGAGCACATCTGCAACCAACTCCAACTGCTTTTCAAGCCTTTAACTAAAACATTTAAGATGGATTAGATGTAAGCTAAGTTCTTAACATTTTCTTATTGCTTCTCTGTAGGGATGGTTCTGCGGATGCAATGATCAATATGGTGAAAGAACACATCAGTTTGTCTTTTGGTGCTATTCAGTTCTACACCGCAGCTGATGTAGAACTGAACGTACTCAACAGTTAACATTTTATGTCGTTTTCTACGAACCAACCCAACTGCCACTAGTTGTCCCCATTGAACCATGTTGCCAGTGGCTTTAACTAAGCTGACATTGAGAGAATGATGCCCACAGAATCACGAGTGCTTGATAAATCTCAGTAAAACACAGTGAGAAAGAATTGAACCCAACGAGTATTCCTATTGATTAGGAGAGCCGTAGTTTTTATTCTTTGATAGAAGTATATCAAAATAGACCTGTTAGTCTCTGACATGGGTGCATTTCTAACTGGGCTGGTTTAAGAGGATTTGTGGGACTGGAGAGAGGCCTGGTGTCCGAATCACACTCTATTAGGCATGCAGGTGTGGATAGATTTGATTTTTGAGAGGTTCATATCAACTTCTAGGTTTTTAAGCCCTGTCCATATGAAAATATGTTTTCCAAAACAACCTTTGCTTCACGTAGCATCATCTGTAGATATCCTAATTTTTGTGAAATAAGACCATATGTTATTGTAACTAAGCTATGTGTCTGTGTGCTGATGCAAGTCAGGCACTAAAATTGACCAAAACCAAAGAAGTCATGGGTCATGTGCTCAAAGCTTTATTTTGTGCAGAGTGAATTGGACTGATAATTAGCTCAGCGATGGAGCTGCATCATTCATTTCATCTCACTGCTTAATAAACATCAAACATAAAAAAAAAGAAAAACTTTACTTTGGAAGTGTTGAAAATGTGCTCACCAAGCACCCATTCATTTGAAAGATAAATAAAAATGCATATTTTGTGAATCTGAAACCAAAAACCTTGGCTACAGTCTGGTCCATTGCACACCAAAGGCCTTGCTCACCTGTTTTTTTTTGTTTGTTTTGTTTTGGGTTTTTTTTCTTTTACAAGCTTTCAGTCATAGTTGAACATGGAAGATGCATTCAAATTTGTTTCACTATAAGTAAATTGTTTTTCCATGCGCCTGCTTGGTAATAACTAAATAGGACATCGGCTGTAGAGTTTGATCTATTCTTGGCGTAGAATTGGAAAGCCTCAAAGATGACTGAATATCCCTGAAGTCCCAGCATGCTCCATTTAGACCATGACTGACAGTATTTGATGTGCACTGTTGAACAAGCGTGCTGAAATCTTTTTGTGTGTGTGTGCATACGTACCTCTGGTTTTAATGTCTGGCAGAGCTAATATAAACTGGTGAAAGGTTAAATTATGCTGAGGTTTTGCAATTTGTATGTTATGCTCAATTTAAGATCAGAGTGGGTTTTTTTGTTTATTTTTTTCATAATCATTGTATTCATACACTGTCACACATTTTATTATACTGCCTAGTAAAATATTATTTAGTCCACCATCATTTTGGATTTTGTAACTTCCAATTTTTTTATTACATTTCTTTGGCAATTAAGCAAGATTTATTTTATGGATAATATCCTATTTAGTGAAGTAGACAATTAAGAGAAGCCAGAAAAATATAGAACACGCTCAACAGACTGCCATTGTGGCAAGGTCAACACAAATGCATTAATTTCTTTGTGAAAATAATCAATACTCTTTCTCATATACAGTGCTTGAATAATGAGTGTTTTATTTTGTATTTGTAGGAAAATGTTGTCAGTGCTGCACCAGAAGGTTGTATTAGCCAGCGTTGAAGAAAATCTGCCAGTAAACAGGATGAGGAGCGACTGTCAGCCTGCAGGTAAATATTCAAAATGGCAGAACTTATATCGAGTGCAGATGTGCAGGAGGTTGTATGTCCGCTGCAAAAAAAAAACAAAAAACAAAAAAACAAATCGGGAGATGATGGAAGCTTGAAGACAATTTTATTTAGAGTTGTTAGTTTGCTGCAGAGCTTTGTAGGTGGCAGATTGTTATCCATATTATTGTGTTTAGTTATATAAAGGTGAAAAAGACAAACTAAGAAAGCATGAATTGAAAAAGTCTCTGGTTCAATTCACCTTGTTGATAATTCACACCACAAATATGTACTCGCATACCCTCCCACAATTAAACCATTTCCTATGTGCTTAAACCTTTAAATATCAGTTTCTTTTTTTTCTTTGGAAATATTTTTTATTAATTATGGCGGTAAATAGTCATGAAAACTCTTAAACATTTAGTGTATTGTGTCCTACATTCTTAAAAAGGTTCTTATTCTCAGTTGATTCTTATGAAATAGGAAAGATTATGACTGCTGATCAGACCAATACAAGTATAAGGAATCTCCTCCTCCTGGTGGTCAATATTTATTGGACTCGCAGAACAATATTTCTCAAAGAACTGACAATCAGTAACATAAAAAATGACTTTATTGTTGGTTGTCACCAGTGGCAGTTTCTCATTGGGAAATATGTCTCACTGCTTAAGATGGCATGGCTAATAACTAAAGTCAAAAATGTAGTATGTCCCTGAACAATGTCCAGTAAATGGAGCGTGAGTGAGTCTTGTTTTGTGCATAGTGCACTGTTACTTATTTTATTTTTTTAATGGTTAAACAGTATGTAGTGAATCATGCTGAAGTTGGTGTCTGATTTGAATCTGTAAATTAAATGCTACCGGTGCTTCTTTGTGCACTGCATTTTTCTGTTCAATATATGAAAACCTGCATTCATAAAATGTGGGGAATTTTTGCTTTTCACAGAAATAGTTTAAGCAATTTAGAGATGAGTTAAACATTTATTCTATTTTTGAAAACCTAAAAAGGAAGACTGACTCACCTAGGACACCATTTCACGATGAGGCATGACAAGTTACTAAAGGTGGCATCAAAAATCCTCCAATTGTATCAGTTTAATATATTTAGTGACAAAGTGGCCAACATTACACAAGTGTAAAATAACCTGTGAACAAAAGGAACATCTTTATTATAAAGATGTACCAATCAGTTGGTGATGAGTCGGACAATTTGTCCTTAATCAGATATGACTGGAGATAAACAGTTCAAATGCAGCTAAAATCACAATTTCCTTTATATTTCATACAGCTAAATTCCCATTGTTTTTCAGACAAATGTTGGGAAGAATGTTTTGACGCAAAATGGAAATAATTTTGTTATTCCTCGATTTTCTGTTGGATTCAAAACTATTACACAAAGAATTTTCTCTTTCACATCTTTAAAACTTTAGGACAAAGAATATTTAAATCATTTAAACCTCATAGAAAACATAAACCATTTGCAAAGAAAATCCTGTTCTGTGCATTTACTATGTCATGATCCCCACAAAACAAGTTTTAATCAATTCAAAACCATCCTTTAAGACATATGCTCTTATTTTTAGCATAAGAGCTAAATGTCAAATGAATAACATTTGTATACACTCAGGAAACACACAGTGTGTGTGACGGCGTTAGGCTGCATTAGGCTGCATGCTGCAGTGTAAACGTCCTGATCTGAGAGAATGAACCAGGGCCTCCATGTAGAATTCCATCATTACTCTCTACTTTGAAGTATTTGCATTTTTTTTTCACGCCGTGCATCACGCCCCTCACCTTCCTCACTCTCAGACACACGCAGCTTTGTGTTTCCTTCTCTTGCATTCAGCTGTTTTATCCCTTTGACCACCGTGATCCCATTTGTCAGGTAGAGTGTGCCGTAGGTGCCGGAGAGGTGGCCGTGTAATCTTTGCTGCAGTTCTTTATCCCGTTAGGAGCATGGAGGCTTTCCTAGGGTTTGGACCTGCTCATGTGGAAAGAGTGTTTGGGTGGCTCTGTCTGTTTCTACCCTAATGCCTCGACAAGCCTCCTCCCCTTATCTAAAGTCGTGTGATTAGCATGGGCACAATTTGCAAGAGCAACATTCGTATTTTAGCCAAGTGTGCAAATATTTTGAGTCCAAAATTGCACACTGTGTTCAATGTTTTTGCCCTTTCAGATTTCAGAAACGCATGAATGAAATAAAAATATAATTTTTTCAATCTTAAAATGGTAACTCTCAGGATTTTTCCAGGAGGAGCTGAGCAATTAGGAATTGGACGGTAACCGCATATTGTCAAGCAAGGTCACATGTTTGTGGTAGCACAACCTTGGAGCCTCAATAGAAACCCCAGTTATTCAAATTTGCTGTGGAGCCCTTTAAGTCACCAAGATTTTCCCAAGCTTTACATTAGCATATGCAAGGAGGAGCCTGTCCTGCTGTTTTCTAAAGTGGATGTAAATTATAACCACAGTATTATACAGGCTGATGGGAGATAAATCTCTGCAGTAATGCAATGCAGCCAGTTGCAATCATAAGGGTAGGAGGGGGAGGATTTTGTGTGTGTGTGTGTGTGAAGGAGGGGTACTGTACAAAAGCAAGTGACAGATGGAATACAGACCAGCGAAGCTCTTGCTATCAGTCATGCTAAACTCTCCTTTCATCAGCTTTCGCTTTGCAGATTCTTTGCTTCATTTGTGAGAAAACTTAAAAGTTGGTCCCAGAACAGGCATTAGGTACAGCTCTGTCGTCGGTGAGACAGTTTAGAAAGTGTGCACTTGGCTTTTTAAAACAAATATTAACATGGGAGGGGGAGATTAGTAAATCGAAACTTACACTTGTGCGGTTCGAAAAGGCTGAGGGTCTTCAGGCCTCATGAGCCGAGTGGAGATCTCTTTGGAATCACTATGCAAACTAGGGCTTGAATAATGAGATGTATTTATGAAGGGCTGGGAAGGGGGTCCTGCTTTTGAAACAGCATGCTGGAGTCTGAATGGAACAGAAAAAAGAAGAGGAGGAGGTGGGTGGGGGTTCTTGGACAAGAGAGAAAGGGGGTGCATGGACAGAAAAGTGGGGTTATAAAGGAGAGCCCCCAAGCAGTCTAGGCCTCAGCCAGGCAGCTGTGAAAAGGGGTCCCGTCTTTTTCCCACGCCCAGCAAGACGCGAAACACTGCCGCGGCTCGCTAGGGTCAAGTCCCATCGCTAATATATACACACATATACATAGGCACATGCACACGCATAGAAAGCAGAGACGGTGCAGCATAAAAGTTGTGCAAATTAACAAGCTGTCTGGGAGGTGACACGGAGGAGGGGGGTGCAGTCGCCTGCTACTACCTCCCGAATGCGTTGCACTCCCATCAGGGGTCAGCGGGCTTCACGAGACAACAGTTGGGTCATAACTTCAACTTGAACTTAAAATTTAGACTGAAACAGAAAAGAACTTGATTTACCTAGAATTCCTCTTTGTTTTTGCCCATTTTTGAGAATATTTTTAATATTTCTCTCCTAAAAACAATACATACAGATTACTAAAGAATACAAAACTCTTTTTGAAAATAGAATAGGGAAGAAATGTAAAAATTGAAAGACTTTCTTGCACATAACACAGTTGTGTAGATTTATTAATTGTATTGCATTAACTCAAAGTTTCTATCTAAAATCCAAACATTTTAAATAATTTTAGCATCATTCCCATTATTTTTGCAGAATTTGCTGCTTCTATTCACTCAGTTAAACTTTGTTTCATGTTTCCCCTCAAATTCACTCTCGTAGTTACGTTTGCGTGACCACAGTGGAACTTGCATTCATTTTCTGAAAATTTAAGCAAACCCAAATCCTCGTATCACCTAAAGACTTCCACATTTACATTTTAGGGGTTTTGTTTTTGTCCTAAAACATGCCTCATAATTTCATTATCAAATTTGCCTCGTTTATGTCAGTAATATGAGTTCACACACATATTTTAAACATCACAAAGATCTACTTTTTGTTTTGTTTATTTGGCTTGGTCCCTCCCATGCATCCCTTCTATCCCTCTCTGGATGAGGCATGGCACACCAAACAAAATGGTGCAGCGTTCACTTCCCTCCCGGCTCACTTCCATCGCTGCATCAGGGATTCGCAGAGCGGTGTCACACTTATTCAGGTCCCCCTGCCTCCTGGAGTCCTTCGCTTTAATTCTAGTCTGAGGGGGGGAAAAAAGAAAAATGTACCATCTATCCTTGTGAATAGAAGAACAGGCGTCCTAGCTTCACTCTCGCTCTCTGTTCCTGCCTGACTCTCCCTCAGTCTCTAACTCATCTTGCTCTCCTCATTATCATGTCTATTCTCTTTTCAGCTTATATAGCCTTTCTAATTAGCTCTGTAAAGATGCTTTGTTGTGGTCAGTGCGGCCGCCAGTGTGTGTATTGAAAGGAAGATGTGTGACAGCTAGTGTTGGCATTGAGAAAGTGTGTATAGGGCCCTTAATGAGGTTTGTTAGCGGAGTGCGCATCCCGCTGTTTGAACGCATTTACGGCTGCCTTTGAAGGAACAGAGATGAAGAGAGCGAAGGAGTCTTTCAGTGTGGTGTGGCAGATTGCAGGATGCAGATGATGCATTATGCTCAGCCGGTTGCCATCCGAATGGCAAACGCGAGGTGGATTGTGCTTTACATGCAGACTGTTGGGGATAGCTGTGGGAAATTTACTCCAGTCGCAATTCCTGTCAGAAATGGGCTCAAATATTCACTGAGTTATCCCGGAGAAAACATACCCAAGAGGCTGCTGTATTGTTTAACAAAATAAAAGCTTGCATCTCTGCTTAAAACGTGATATTAAAAAAAGAGAGAAATGAGAGAGGGATTTTTACAATAGAGAGTTAAAGTGTGGTTGCATCAGAAAAACAGCAGTGACTATAGACGGCTGAAACCAGATAAAGGTGGAGGAAAAGGGGAAAAAATAGGTTAGGAAATGAGGGATTTTGTAGAGCCACCCCGCCAGCCTGCTGGGCCTGCCTGCTGCCTCAGAGATTGTAAACTGTCACTCAGGATGCAGACACAGAGGCAAGACAGAAATCATTTGCCCATATTACCCTCCAATACAGGAGCCGCCGTTAACATGTCCCCTTGTTCCCTATCTCCCCCTCCATCTGCAGCTGGTATTTTTCTGTGCCTCTGCCCGTGCACATGCATGTATATGAACGCGCTGCCCCTCCGAGAGGTTTTTCTCCTCTCTTGATAAAATGAGTCAGCTTGCAGCATGCTCTCCCCCTCATTGTTCGATGGTTCGTTGCCTCTCTGTAGGAGGCAGGCAGAGAGTGTTTGGGCTCTTTTGCCCCTGTTTTACTAGTTTACCAGTGTAATCCTTTACACTGGCACAATGAGCTTTCACTCCAGCCACAGGATTCTATTAGTCTCCCAGAGAGGCACGGGATCTCCATAAACATCTTTGAGCTTCTCTTGCAACTCCCTCCTAACCACCTATTCAGCCTTATGGCATCAAACATACGGCCTGGGAGTTTCTCCTGGTTTAATTGACAACCTCCTCCCTTCATTATGACTAAGACTTACCTGCAGAGTAAAAGCAAATGCACTTACCAACATCTTGTTAACTGTTAGCTTCACTCCCAAGACAATGTGTCTGTACTGAGCAGAAGCAACAGTCTAATACGTACTGAAGAATTATACTTTCAGGAGCGGCTTTTTTTTTTTCTGACGAGTTTTCTTGGGCTGTATTCCCCTCCAACACCTGCTGCTGCACACTTCTGGTCAGCTGGCTGAAAGAAGGCCCCTACACATTTCAGCTAGCCTACAAAAACAAATGTGGCGTCTTCATTATTCGTGGGCATGGACAAACATGAGTGAGGGTGTGTCTGTCACCATTGCAAAGCTAACCCAGTTCACAATTAACTGTTGCTAGTGGCTTGTCTGCAGAATGGCTACCTCAGCAGATAACCTGACTAAATAAAAAAAATCAGCTTGAGAGAACAGAAAACGGAGCCAAAAATCTAAAAGTTTTAGTTATCAGCACATTTAAGTTCTTAACATTTTAACCAAAATGTTCTATTATTTTAGCAGCAGTGTAAATACTTCTTGTTTTTTTTCTTCCTTGTACCTAAGAACAATTGGATGTTTAATTTGCTTTTATTTACATTTTACTGTAGGTTATCATACTGCAAGTGTCTAATTTCTGCACCTTACACTTTGAAATCAAAGTCAGTGGATAAACTTTTGTCCTTTTATGTTGGGTACAAATTCTGTTCATTATGATCTCTAAAAGAGATCATAATGAACAGCTATAAGATTCGGCTATTTGATGTTACTAAAGTATAACAAAAGTATCTGTCTTTATTTTGTGCTTCAAAGGTCATCATTACTGTTAAGGAAATTATTACATGAGTCTTAAGTAATTCATTCAAACTTGAAAAATTTACACAAGGTTTGTACCTTGATAATTTTTTTTATTTTTTATCACAGTAATAGTTCTGAATATTGCTAAAAGGGCATTTCAGAGATTTTTCAAACGTTTTGATTTGTGATGCAGCCTGTGAGATGTATTTCTGTCTCTCGCGTCTAAAACCACGAATCACAGTGGTCGCCTCTCTTGTAACCTCCTGTACCCAAACATATCACTCTGTCTGCCCCCGCCCCACTCCCTGGGCCCTCTCTCAGCTCCCATCTTAATAATACTGCTCTTCTCTTTCACACCACATGGAGGGCTGCCCTGAACCAACATTGTCCCTTGCACTGCCTCTAGTGGAGGGAAGGGGGCCATTGTGTGTGAAGGAATGGGCGAGTTAACACCCATGCCTGAACCCCCTCAATGGGGGCATTGTGTCTGAATCTTCCTCAAACTCACCCGACCTCGCCCCCACGTCACCCCAGAAGGGCAAACCAGGGGCGACTCGGGCTGCTTTGCGACTATATTATGTTTTTACTTATTTTCGTCACTGGGGGTTTGTTTTTGTTTTTTTTAAAGCTGCACGTAACAGCACGCTGAAATTCACTAAAACCCTTCTCATATTTCACCTCGGACCGTTTAACCCACCGCTTTTTGTATCTTATTATTTTTCAAGCAACTCAAACTGTGATGAATATGCTTTGTAGCTGGTTCGAAGGAAATTTGAGGGCTGGTGGGTGTACGATTGCAAAAAGGAGGCCCCAGCAATTCATTTCTCTTTCCTCAGAAAGAAAGAACAAAGAAGCACACAAAGGACCTTATCATATTAGCATGATAACAGCATTCAGAATATTTCAAGACGAATCTCAACAAAGAACTCTGAAGATGAAATTATTACCGCTCTTTTCCAAATGAAGAGGTTATAGTGTGACTATTTTAACCTGGAAGATTTAGATTTACATGTAGCCCTTTTACATGGGAGCAGAGACAGCTGCTTTGCTTTGCACACAGCAGTTTGAGCATTTTTATTTATTTTTTTTTTGTTTTGTTTCTTTTTGGTGTGTGCAGCAGCAAGAGCCTTGGGGCGGGTTACTAAAGAGCAAGTTGGCGTTTTCTTCCCACATATTTTTAATCAAAGTGTTAGTGTTTACATTTGCATTTGCATTGAGCAGAGGGATGCTGAGTGCTAAAGGTGAGATTTTGAAAAACACTCTGCTTTGCCTTGTTTTTTTTGTGTGTTTTTTTCAGATGGAAACAAGGGTGGGTGGCTGGAAGGCTGGATAAAGGCTGGTGGATGACTGAACCCGGTGACCCGGTGCAGCTCATCATCATTGCCGGGGGCCTCTCATCTTCTTCCTCGTCTCCCATGGCTCGTACCTCCATCCAGGGGTCTAGCAGAGCCCAGCGAAGCCCAGCCGGGGAGCTAGTGAGTGGGCTGGGAAGGATGGAGAAAGTCCCTGAAGGCAAAAATCACCTCTGGAGCTATCAGCGTGCTAGAGAAATCGATATGAAACACAGAATCTTCACAGCTTTGAGTGGGGTTTCCTGTGTTTTTAAGTGTGTGGCCTGGAGGCCCTGCAGACCTGCAAAGGACTTCCCCTACGTGCCTCTTTCAGCTTCAGCTCCAGCTCCTTCTCTGGACCTCAGCCCTGATCTCCACTGCCTGTGTGTGGTTCTGCTGAAGGGTGTTTCTCCCCAAATGGTACCCAGAGTTTTAAAAGATCGCTCTGAGGCATATTCCTTTCTCTCTTTTTTTTTTTTTTTTTTTTCTCCCCCATCACGAGATTGACACATCCCACCACCTTCTGCCTCTGGCAACCAGCTTGGAAGTTCTGCCTTTGACTCACTCTCCATCTTCAGCTCATCCACGGCTTATTCCCCAACTAGTTTTCACATTTGACAAACAGACACTGCGATCTTTATTTTCCACCTCCACTCTTGGCTCGCACTTCCAATGATGAGCTCCAGACAGATGTCTTTCAAAAGCAGACACACCGGAAGATGATAGTTGAACTTTTTTTTTTTCCTTTTTTTTTTCCTATCATGCCTATTATTCAATTTGAGACCATTCACAATATTAACTGGCTGGAAAGAGAAGAAGACTGAAGATCAGAAACCTTTCAGTGGAGACAGTAAAATGGCAAGTATCTTCAACAGAATCAGAAATTATCTGAAATACTCTGTATTACAATGTGTGTGGGTGTGGGTGTGTGCGTGCGTGTGTGTGTGTGTGTGTGCGTGCAGTTGCTTTGCTAAAGTTTGAACACCTTTTGAATTTTGTGACATTACCAACACAATTTTTTTATTTTTTTTTTATCTGACAGATCAGCTCCAAGTACTAGATAGTTGCAAAGTAAAATGGAAATTGCACATGATTTTTAAAGTTGGTGTAGATTACATATGTATGAAACCCTCAGTAGTTAACATAGAATTAACGCTGCAAATATTTTGGGGGTTCGTCTCCGCCAACTTTGAACATCTGGACAAGAGCTCAGGCTCTGTCAGATTGGACAGAATCTCGCATTTGCATTCCTGAAAATCTGTCTAGTCTCAAGTCTTTTGCGTCATGTACAGCATGATGCTGCCTCCACCATGTTTCACTTAGAGATGCTTTGTTCAGGGTGATGTGTTGGTTTTCAAATGCATTTAGATTTTGCATTTGCGATGTAGGAAAAATGTTTACTGTGTCCCTTAAATGGCTTGAAACAAATTATAAACTGATGCTGTTTTTTCCCTGTTTTACCAGATTTATGCGACGTATAGTTGTTTGAGTTAAACAGGCTTCTTAGCTGCTTCTCTGATTAATCCTCTACTTGTCCAGTCCTCTCCGTTTTGGTGTACAGGCATATTTGGGCAGTTGTTCATGCGCTTTCCAACCACGCACATTTAGGTTAATGTTTTTTCCCCATTCCTGTTTTTTAATCTTCTTCTCCAACTTTATTGTTGACCTGTCTGCTATGTTCCTTGATCTTCATGATGCTGTTTGTTCACTAATATTCTCTAGCAAACCTCACAGAACATCTGGATTTATACTGGGATCAAATTACATTCAACTGGACTATTTGGTTTGGTTGCTCTGCTTTTTATTTGTGAAAAGTTACCCTGAACACAAATACTCCCTAATCATCTTTATTTGTTTGTTTTAAAAAAAAAGTTTTTATTCCCATTAACTATGTTGTGGTGTTTTGTCATGTAAAGTCTCTTTTTAAAATGCACTGGAATTTGTTGCTGTATCATGACAAAACGTGGACAAGGGTGTGAATGCTTTTGCAAGGCGCTGTATGAATGAGAGAGCAACTAAGAACTAAACCAGCTGAATTTACTGGAGTATTTTTGCTCAAAAATGAAAATATGATCATTTCAGAAAGCCTTTGAACAGACGGAGTAAATTTTCTGCGATAGGAAAGCTCAGTGTGTACATGAATGTACTGTACATGCTTGGCCTTTAGAGCATTCGAGTGCAATCTGCAGTACCAGCAGCAACACTGTGAAAATCCAAAGCCCCCAAACTGCTGTCACCATCGGCGTGATGCAGCATGGCTCGTTTCCATCCAGATGGGCACAGCTTCAGACAAAATGGCCGCCAGTCTTTCCTCCTCTGCCAAAGATGGCGAGCGCATCGCTGTCGTCTGCCATCTGTGCATCAGTTAACTGTCGTATGTAAATCTGGGGCTAATTGCATTTGCATCACCTCTAAGCGAAGGCGGCGGTGGTATTCCTCGCCAATGCTGAATCCAGCAAAGGCGGCGTTGGTGGAAAACATGCTGGAGCGAGGGGATGTTTGTTTTTCCACTCCAGGCTTCAAGTGTTGGGAACCTCATAAAGTGGTTCCCAACAAATGGGTGTTTTAGTGTACATGAGATGAAGCGTCTAGACATTCGGTGCCATATGGTGCTCGTGTTTGCATGCGATTTTCTCGCATGCAAATGACACTGTACAAAGGATTAAGCCAGAGCTTTGTTTAATCAGATATCGCCCCGTCATGCATTCACACTCACAGACATGCTTAATACGCAGATTAACCAAAAGAAAGAAGGTCCGGCAGAGTCTAATTAAGACGAGGGGCTGCGGGCCCAATGAAGTCCAGATGCACGGCGACCGAGATGGTCTTGTGTTCATGCACATGGATATCTGTTTGCCATGGCACTAAACAAACCATACGGTGATGGATTTCTTTAGAGCAAGTGTCTCATGAAACATAAAAACCCATCAGCCAGAAGTAAATGAGTCAAATTAAACACCTGCAGTGTTTTTTAGAGTTTGGAGTAGCACTGCGCGTTAAAAAAAAAAATTTAAATTAAATCCTGCACGAGTTGATACGTAACCTCAAGCAGCGGTTTTTACATTCGCCTAAATTGGTGCTTTTTTTTTTTTTTTTTTTTTTTTTTTTGAGACGCTGCTTCATCTGATTAGGGCAGCTGAGCAACAAAGCAGCGCTCCTATTTGCATTTTGCCCATCGAGGCAGCTGCTGCGTCGTACAGTTAGGTCTGGTGTAGCCAGCAAAATGGCGGTCACGCAAATCACGGGCTCTGTCTGCCGGTCGTGGGAGCAGAGAGGACGACATGGTGGGGGAAGTGGGGGGTGCAAGGGGGATAGGGAGGTTTTTTTAGGGTGTCTGGTTCAAGGGAGACATGGGTTACAAGGTCCAGACTATGGGGTGGGGGTAGATGGAGTGAAAGGTTATTATTTGAGGAAGGGGGTGGTGGCGGATGGGGGTGTCTGGGTTTCAGAAGGATCCATTAATGAAGAACTGAGTGGTGGGGGATGAAATTGTCTGCATATGTGAACACGTCTCGACCCATTTGCATAGGCTGACGAAGACGTCCATATGCCGCGCCCGCCTGCCCGCCCTCCGTCGCCTTCCCCTCCGTTATCTGCTTTGCACCCTTTCCCATCTGACAGTCGCGTTATCAGAAAAAGATTCTCTCAACCATTTCTCACAATAATCCTCAAACACCCCCTACTACACGGGAGCCTGGTGCTCGCCGCATCGTTCCGTGGGTTACAGCAGCCAGTGAGAGCGCTCCGAGCGTCTCTCAGCCAATGGGCAGGTCGTCAAGAAGGAGGAAGAGGAAGGAAAAGGCAAGGCGAGTCAGGAGTTTACCCTTGATGTGCTGGAGAACAAAACAACAAAACAAGTACAGGATGGAAACAAAGAGAGGGAAGCATGGCACAGAGGGAGGGGGAGGGACATCGCAAGTCGGGCATTATATTATAATACACTTGTGTGTTGCAAATACAGGATACCTACAGATCATTTGAAAGGTGGCAAAAAAAAGCCTTGATGGCTTTGAGCCATGGTAATGAGCAAAAAGTCAGACAATACAGACACAATGCAGATCTTCATAATGTTTTCTTATGAATACCGCCACGGTGAGGTCTGAGCTCAGAGCGTGGGAATCCTGCGAGGACATATGCAGATCAGCCAGGCTCTGGCTAGACGGCCCCTCCAGCATGAATAGTCCTGCAGCAGGTGAAAGAGGACCCTGGAGTTCATGGGTCAAGGCCAGTCAAGAGGTTGTCTGGTTCACGAGTGGCGCATATCCGTGTGTGTTTGGCGATCGTCTGGGTCTTGTCGAATGCAAATGAAAATCACAGGGCTATTTGATAAGCACTCCTGAACATTATTGGCGCCGTATTGTTTGTTCATAGAGGATCGGGCCGGGTCTTTCATCGTATTGTTGCTGACAGGCAGAAAGACGGGCAGGCTGCAGTTAGACCACCCTCGCTAAAGGAGGGATTGTGTTGTCTGCTAAGCCTTTTCTTCTCCCACCTCTGCCTTTCTGTGGCATTTCTTCTGACTGACATGTTGGTCTCGGTCTCCGCAGTGAGACGCCTGTCTTTGTTTCTCACTGATTGACAGCAACATTTGCAGCAAGGCTCTGCGTTTCCATGATCGAGGAGATTGCCAAGAGTGCACCGGTTTATAAACTTGCACTTCGCCATCTTTTGTTGAGAAGAGAAAGCCTGGTCAATATTCTTTACAAGAAGACATTAACTTTACAAATCACTTCTGTCGCTTTGCAAGCAAAATTATGTCAAAGAAAACAGTACGTGAAGAAAAAATGCCCAGATTTTTTTGTTCTTGTTTATGTAATATCTTGACATCATGATTTGATTTAATTGAAGATTAGAATTATTTTTTGCATCAGCTTTTTATTATTGGAGGAGTAATATCTTTTATTGAATATATGAATAGAAAACAAGAAACATTAATGCTGGTCTAGTTGAAAATAATTTAAAGTGTAAGTGTTCATAGCACCTGCATATTTCTAATTTTGTCACATTACTGCTTAAAACATCAGCATATTTCGTTGATTTTATCAGACGGATCAACAAGGCGTAGCGCTTGATTGTGAATTGGACGATGAGTGATTTTAAAAATATTTTCGACGGAAAAATCCGAAAAGAATGTTTTGTTTTTGTATTTGGTTTGACTAAAAAAGGATTTGCAGATCCAAATTCATGTCTTGGCTTCATAAGTGTTTTACTGCTCTGGAATTACATTTCTGTCCTTTTTTGCAACAGAGTTCAAACTCAGTTTTGTAAGATCATATGAACATTACATCAACTTTCAAATCTTTCAGAGTAATTCAATCTACATTTAAATCTGGCCTTTGACTGGGCCATTCTGAAACATTGGTTGGCTTTGATTTGACCATTCCATTGTAGCTATTGTTGCAAGTTGAAGGAAGGTGAACTTCTATTCAAGTCTCGCATCTTTAAATCTTCAAACACATTCACATTTTTGAATGTGAATTTCACTGTGTCTCTTCAGTGAGGAGTACCTGATCTGTTTAGGAGCTTTGTGAGGGGAGATCGAGGTCAAAGGAGCAGCGCTGGCTCGCTCCACTCCTTCATGCTGGTGGCTTCGGGCTTCATTAGCTCTGCAGACGGGGACGGTTCCCTCAAGGTCCCCTCAACAGGCCCAACGACGTGCTGGCTCTGGCTTAGCCTCGGCCTCTGTGGGGAATGCGAGAGCGGAAATGTCTGTGTTCTGCTGCCGCTTTGTCTGCATGTTGGGTCCCTGCGCCGCTAAAATGCCACTTGGACCCGTCTGTCTCTCTCATATGCTAAATTATTTTTTGTCTTTCACACGCACCCTGCTCTGTTCTTTGTTCAATATTCTCCATTCTTA